ACGCATACGCCTACATTTTTTATTTTTTATTTTAAGGCTTACTGTTCATTTCCGACGATAAAAACCGTGTTTTACCATTTTTGCCATTTTTTTTTTTTTTTTTGAAGCCTTGGCGGAAAATATTTTTTATTCGATTTCATTACAATCGATTGGCATTGTTTAATTCTCTACAACATAGTTTTTTTGAGCTGGTCTGAATTTCCATTGCCGAAAACTTAATTCGATCCCTCTATGATGGCTTTTCGCAAAATCACTTCTAGAAGCTGTTCTATTAAAAGTGATGATCTAAAACTTGGTATAGGCCTTATTGAGACTTTGTACTTTAACCCTATATCATTAAAATCTTTAGTTTCGAAAATTCACAGCACACTTTTATCAAAAGATCAGATTAACTATACCGTTTACTCCTTATTTTGTATCTCCCATACAAAAAATATTTAGGCTATTTGGTTAACACCATAAAAAACTAGATACCTTGAAAAACATTCTATAATTTTTTTAAAGTAAATTATTTAAACATTAACGAGTACTGGCACGTTGAACACAAAAGCATTTTCCGTAATCGAGAAAGCGGACGTTTTTCGGCTAGGTTAGTACAGCAGACTTTGTCACGGCGTCTTATACACATCCACGTGCTCCCCTTCACCTTCCCGCGGGAGCAATCCAACTTACTCAAAGAAAACAATAATCTTTAAAAAATTAAAAAATATTGTTTTGTTTAAAAGTTGTTAATATTAAAAAATGCAGTACATAAACATTTATTCAGCCTTAAAAAATTAACAACTTTATATGCTTTTATTTTTTATACATAACACATATGAATTTTTTCTTGTTTATAGCCACATTTTACGGAAAAAATTTCTAGATCGAATGTTTCGAATATTTATTGAAATATAGAACCGTTCCCATAACACTCGATGCTTTCATGATATCTTATTTTCTATGTTAAAACTTATAGAGTAAAATAGTTGAAGCGGCCACCATCAACAAAATTTTTTTACATCATCATTAAAATATGTGTATAAGTGGCAAGTAGCACCAAATGACAGGCGCATATCAGATACCCAAATCTGTCTAACCTTGCTCAACTTCACATAACGTCCAAATCACCAGTTGGGCAATGTTTGTTAGAGGTAGGCAAAGTAAAATGAAGTTAGGCATGTGTTTAACGGAAGTAATTTTTTTCTCGGGGACCTTTAGATCGCCTTTCTTTCATTAAAGATTAAAGACGATTAAGGACTCATTTTTACCCTAGAGGAAATTAGTCTTATCGTCACTTTTTTTCGCTCTATCATGATTTATGAGGTAAAAACTAAGAGAAAAAAAATAGTGGCACTTCCTACATACGTAAACATCTTTGAATACGTATAAATTTCAGATTTTTAGTGGTTACGAAATAACACGCTTTTTCAGAATTAAGATAATTTTGATGTTTTTCAGAATTTTCTTCAAGTTTATTACGCTACTTTTTTACTTTTTCTCCATTTTTGGCTAATTTAAAATTTTTTGCTTAGAAACTTTTTTATTATTTATTCTATCAATTAAATGTTTTAGTTTTTTTACTTTTAATTTTCTACTTTTATTTACTTTAAA